GGCCTTTACACTTCTTCCATCGACACCCGTATTTGTATGGTTATTAATATTATTAATAATTTTTTACATTTATTTGACACTACAAGGTTCTAATGCAGTTAAAATTATATAATGTGGGTAATTATCTTTATACATTAGGTATGAACCGAGCTTGAGTGGCATTTTAGATGTATCTTATTTGATAATTATGTGCAAATCGTCAAAAAATAGTTATTAAAAGTTTGACAAACGTTACATCCATCAGTTAAAGTACCGGAGAGTGTGGAGAGCTTAGGCACATCACAACCATTCTTAATTTTGTTTACAGCTAACGTATTGATCAGGTTTCACATATTTTTTGATTTATTTTTATATTTAATATATTCATTACAGTAATATACTTCTCTAGATTCACTAATCATTTTACTCACGTTTTTTTCTTCTCTAAATTATACCTATATAATATGTCGTCATTTTTATATCATTTTTCAAGCTATTCCAATAAATATTTGTCTATCTATACCTTCGATTTTGCTTTTATTAATCTAGTCCATCTGTAGTAAGTTTAGTATTTTAGTTTTTGTTATTTTATTTTGTTCAATTTGTTCCATTATATAATTTTCGAGATAGTTGTAGTCACAGTGCTTATTTATATGTTGGGTTTCTGTGCAGATTTTTATCAGTCCATTGTAGTCCAGAGCAGTATAACGGACCCACTGCAGAATTTCTGGCTTATATTTACATACTTCCACATAAATTTGTTTATGCTCAGATATGGACGATTCAAGAATAGAAAGTGAAAACGTATTACTGTTTCAATTTGAACATACATGGTCTAAAATAGTATGAGTATTAGATGTCTCACGTATGCAGTATTCCTTCTCTACTATGTTTAATATTTCGTAACCAGATTCTTCTTTCGTTCCCAAGTAGTTAACAATATTGTTATTAGTGTTTAAGAGGTCCAAGTTAAAATCGCCTAAAACTATTGCTCTTTTATAGATCTGTAGTTGGTTGGAGTATATGTTAAAAATTTATTAACGTTGTACTCACCAGCTTTATATATCCCATAAGTCATTTAATACTGTTATGAATGTATATAGATACTTCACACCCCTTGTTTACTTTTCTGAAATTGTAAATATGCGTGTAATTAGTTCTTTGATTTTGACAAGCATCCGGCTCAGATATAAGCCAAGTCTCAGTAAAAATAGGTATAAGAAGTGATTAATACTTCGAAAATTGGCGTAGAAATTCTTTAAAGAGTTTGTGCTTGTAATAGGCAGATCCTGTTACTTTTGGACTAAATGGTGGGTGATGTAGTTATTGTCTCTAGTAATAGGATATCTTATAGCTGAATCTCGAACAGTGCGTTTTAATCGCTTTTTGACTTGACTATTTTCGGTCCTTGAATGTATTTAATTATAAGGCCATTTTCACCGTTTTCTTTGCGCCTATTTAGCTCTTCAGAAAATCGTTTTAAAAAGTGTTTCTGAGATGGAGTTTGATCAGCATATAATCTTACGTTACTAGTCAACTTTGTTTTATTTCGCAGCAATTGTTTAGGTGTGGCAGTAGTGTCAAAAAATATTTTAAGCGGTCGACTTTTTGCCGGGTTGTATTTACCCAGGCGCATTGTTTTTATCAGCTTAGTACATTATTCTCGTCATGTTTACGCCTTGCCAGGTAGTTTTTGTTGCAAATTTAATTTATACCCACAATTACAATATATTTCTCTCGCTGGCATCGGTCTTTGAGTTCCAGCATAAGGTCTTCTTGAATAGGCAAACGCGGTTTTCGTTTGGTGGCACCATCGTCCACGAGACTTATATTTGGTTCAAATTGATTTAATTTATTCTGTAGTAATTGAATTCCTAACTTAATGTTTTCAATTTCCTATTGTAGCGTTTCGTACTTTGAGTTTAATTTTTCAGTAGTTTTTTTTGATACTTTTAATTTCATTCGTGATTTCTGTAACCTCTTGACGAATATGCGACAAAATTTCTTTTTGGGACACAGAAAACTCTTTAAAATAATTTGTTATTTCTTAACTCTTTGCGGAACTCAGCTAGGTCTTTTTTAAATCCATATTCTATTGGACGCTCTTTTCGTTTTCTAGGACGAATATCTATATGTCTTTCATCATCATGAAAATTCGATAAATTCGACGTGGAATCCTCGCCTCCGTTTCCGATTGCGAGAATCTCGCTGCACGATGTTTGTTGTGTAGACATCCTTGTAACCAGTTAGTAGGTGTAGGCAATTAGAAACAGTGTAATCATGAACTTAGCTGAAGTACGAGCGCGTCGAAAAATCACAGCTATCTTCTTTACCCAAGGAGGTGAAGGGAGCTTCGTAAGATATATGATTTGATCACAGTATTAATTAGTCGCGTGTAAAATAAACTTTGTTTTGCTGAATTCACTACACAAGTTATTAGGTGGCTGGTGGAAGGAATAGAGGAGATCTCCCGCCGGGCAAGGTGTTCTGCCCGGGGAGCGGCCAACGCTCCAAGTGATAGTTCGGAGCTATTCTATATATACTGCTTTAACTTCAAAACTTTGTTAGCGCGATTTAGGCTTCGATGAGTTTCGTTTGTGGCACGACGACAGCGGTCGATAGTGCAGTTCGATTGCCGATGCGTCCTTAATGCCAGTGGAGAATGCATGCTGTGTGCGTAAGGGCAAGTGACGCCAGTGCGAACGATATGCCTTTGTGTAATGCATGCAAGTGGTGTCGGTAAGAACGATGAGCCGGAGCAAGTGCCAGGGATTGCCTTGTAGTCTGCGGTGAGTCGAGAAGAAGGCAAGTAATCTGCGAGAGTGCCGTGAAGCAGAGGCGAGCAGTAAGGCTCAAAGCCGTGCGGAACACTGTAGCGCAGAGAGTAGCTTGAAGGAACAGGAAGCATTATTATTTCAGTGCTGCGATGAACCTTTGTAAAGGTAGATGGCTTGCAGAATGTGAAGACTGCAGACAATATCTGCTCGGGAGCGAATGAATGGGGTACTTGAGGATGATGACGAAGGTTTGAAGTTGTAGTTTCCGAAGGTTGTTGGTTGCGTGTTCATATCACGTCGGTTGGTCACCACTGTGGTGGGTAGAAGGAAAGGGGGAGATCTCCCGCCGGGCAAGGTGTTCTGCCCGGAGAGCGGCCAACGCTGCGAGTGGTAGTCCGGAGCTATTCTATATATACTGCTTTAACGACGACGACAGCGGCACCACAATAAGTATTACTTTCAGTTGCATAAGATTAACGTAATTTGTAAATAATTTTTAATAGGTTTGTTAAATATAATGCACAAATCCGCGCAGTTCAAAACATATAACGTACCCATTCATTTCAATTTACATTCTTACCTATAAAACCAATATTATCCACCGTCAAAACTCAACTCCAATTCCAGTATAATAGTAATATGTTAAATAAATTTTTTACTCTGACATAAAATGTCGCCATCTGAATGATAAATTTTATAAATACAACAATCTAGTCATCGAAAATAAAGTTCATTTTGTTTTAATTTCATTTGTAATTCCGTTCAAACCCCAATTTAGAACAGTTATCTTTAAAGTTACTTATAAAACAATATCTTTAGTGTAATAGTTTCCTTGCACGCCAAATAAAAGCTGTAATAGAGTTATAATACAGCCCCTTTTAATCTTGCACAATTAATGTACAGCGCTACTAACGCATAAAGCTGTATAATTTGTGCCAAGTTTTTACTTATAAGAACTGTATAAGCACTTATACAGCAGAAAATACAGCCTCCACTAATAAAAACGAACTTAGATACAACTGCCTGGGGAAATGTACACAGAAACAAAAAAGCACTCACTCATCTTCACCTTCTTATGACTGATGTAACGTTTATGAATTTTTCAATTCGTTACCCCATTCCTGTATCGTGGAGGCAGTTTGCATACATTATTTGTACAAAGACAAACATTTACATTTTTTGTTTTTTTTTTTATCAGTTATTTGTAGGTCATACAAATACTTAAGTAGCAAGGGACACGCTCGCATACAATACAAGCGTGAAATTGCAGCATAATGCTGCTGTATTTCATATGGTGAGTGACTAAAATCTGAGAGCCTTTTTATTGGTATTCCTTCTTAGTCGTCAGGGTTAACAATGTACATGCAATTTGATTCTTAATTGAGGATAGATGTTAACAATGATCGACAGCACGACATCGACCTGCCATAGCGACAGCATCTTACCATCGGGTGGACTGTATTCTTGTCACCTTTACTTCTGTGAAAATTCGACTAGAGTTTTAAAGTTACCGGGATGATCACATCACAAAAACACGGAAAATTAATAATTTGTTTTTTTGAATAAATTTCAGCATAGTCTATATTTGGAAACTGTATCCACGACATATGAACCAAGTACTAACTACTAGGTCACACGGTCGTTAAGCTTCCAAAGTCACATAAAATTATACATAACTATAGTGCTAATAACTCTACGGTTAGAGGTATTAGCACTATAGCTCTAGCTTCACTCCTTCAAGACATTGCCCATTATAGGATAGAGCCGCTGGCAGCAGTAGTTTGCTAAAGCGTTCGTTCGTATGAGAAAAGAAGACTTATGTGGGCCTTAAGTGAAAGAGCTTGACATAGTCTCTCTCATCTGATAGAATGGATTCTATGAGAATGTACAAAAAATCACTTAGATTCTTTATCAAAGACAAATTGCACAATTCTCTGAATCCTTCGAAGCGAAAAAAACCTAATAGAACTTAATAACGGGCTGTCATTTACGTATAACAAATATATTCTATTTACAAACGGCAATTAATGCGAAATATATTGAAAATAAAAAATAAGGACTCTTATGTACAGCACATTACATGTGCTGACTACTTGAAAGGGGCCGGGTGGTATGTTACTCGCGGGTCATTCGGTGATCTAATCATAATCAAAAGTGCATAATTATCTTTAGATTATAGGTATTTAACTGATTTTATCAGAACTTTTGTTAGTTACGAGTTCGTTTATAACACACTGCTTGCAGGCCGCATTGTTACCGGTAGCGATGTACAGCTCCGGCTGGCAAAATTGCCGTGGAAAAAGTAACAAAAGAGTAAGGAAGCTTTTGTTGTTGGCAATGACTCAAGGACAGGTAAATTGACATTCTTACTTTACATTCATAACCTACAAATAAATCTAACATTAATATTTTAACCGTAATGAAGGATTGCGATTCAATTGTATTTTATTTTCCTTTCACTTTTGTCCCATTAACATTACAACGACATCAAATCACAAATAAAGTAGCTATAAAAATTAATATTACAATCCATTTATTAGATGCTTGTGAATTAAGCAATTGAAAAGTGGGTTATGTTTAAACATTAAAAGAGATAAAATTAAAAAAGTATATATTTCGGTTCGTAATTTTTTGTAAATTTATTTTTTAGCGACCAGTTGTACTCAAGGCTTTCAATCTTATAGAATTATCATACCAATCATTCTTATCCGTAAGTATACCTAATATTCTTTTCCGTATTACACTGAAAGAAATAATTTTTTAGGATTAGCATATTTTACTTCTTTTTCTTCTTTAGGTAAAAGTCCACTGCTAGACTTTGGTCCCCCGTTGTAGGGGTTAGTTTAGTTTTGAAAGGCGAATAAATGACAGCAGTACCAGACGTCAGATACGTTTGACGCTAGTCCTGATTCCGTTTTAGATATTTTTTTAACCAGGCAAGATTATTATTTCTTGTACTATTATTTATTCTGTGTTATTTATATGGCAATATATTGGAAGCCATTATATTTTTCTTGCATTTCCAAGTGTCGCTTCTACAACGATGATGGACAAGAGTACGCCGCCACTTAAACTAATAATTTTTTTTCATAATGTAAAGCTATTTAATAAAACATATAACAATATTAAATTTGGTAAAAATTACCTCGCGTATACTCGATAAAATAAATTAATGTGTCTTACCTAGTTTGAAGAGCACCTCCCGCCCTCCCTCAATTGCGTGCACTATCCCCGTCACCACTAATCCCAGCACCACTACTCCCAACACCAATAAACTAGGAAAAACACACCACTGACGATAATACGACACGTGTTTCGCCTCTACACCACGCATCTTGAAGTGATGTAGACTCTGCGGTGGCTGACTGCTAAGTGAGCTGCGAGCCACCGCTCCCCACTTAAGTAACGAGAGACTGTGTCGTGCGATAAAACATGCAAACAATCACCACCTGGCGTACGTAGCCGCTTTTAAATTAAAAACAAACCGCCGTGCGCCGGAAATGGAAAGTAAAATCACTTGTGCAAGGGTGTTGCCACTGCACTTATCAAAAGGCCTTTCTAGCGTAGTTTAATCATCACATCTGTTGTCGGTACTTCCAGCTATATGCTCGGCTCATTGACACTTCAGTTTCTGATGTGATGTTTTGATTTTGACATCATTTTAGATGTATGTCACCTCCTACATATCATACTCTACCAACCTAGTAAAAACCTTTCCCAAGAACCATACTCCATATCATCCCGTGAGTGTCATAAGAAACGACAGAAGGAAACAAATCAGTAGATGGGCAGCAGCGTCTTCCTAATAACAATTAAAAATAAAAAACTGCGGTTGCTAACCCACTTGCCATGCGTGGTAACTATGATAGCCTCTTCTCGATCTAAGGAGGGTGCCTATGTTCAGCAGTGAACTTTAATAGGCTGTAACGGTAACAGTAAAAACCTTTCCACACGTGAGTAATAGAGAGCCGTGTAAGCTCAGCGCTAAGCACTCGCTGTAAATTGCACAGCACGCGAGCAATCCGGATTCAATCTCCGCCGGCACCATTGAAATTGATAATTGCAATTTTAATAGGTCGGGGAAAATGTTTATTCGTATTTTGTTTCTATAAGGTTGAAGAAAAATCTCTTTAGTTGTACTGTTTGTATCTGGCTAGTTTTAATATGAATACATATAGGACATTAAGAATAAATTAATTAATAAAAATAAATGTGAAAAACACTTTCCCGCCCTTTTTCAATTGTTTTTCTGACCATAAAAATTAGTGAATCTAACTAATAACTTCGATACATTCTGAATATTTATTACAAAAATGCGACTCCGCCGCGAAAAAAATTTGTGACGTTTATGGATCTATTGCAGTTGCAGTAAGCGTAGCACAAAGTTGGTTCAAGCGTTTTCAGTCGGAATTTTGATGTCAAAGATGCAGCTCGCTCTGGTCACCTACACACGGAAAATTCAATGCCATTTTTGAAAAAATGGAGCAAGATAAAGACGAGAAACTGTTTTGTGGTCAATTCTCAATTCTTCGGCTATGTCGTAACTACTAATCGGCATATAAGTAGTTACGACATAGCCGAAGAATTGAGAATTGACCACAAAACAGTTTTGACCCATTTGAAAAGTCTGGCTATACAAAAAAACTTGATATTTGGGTACCACACGAGCTCACTGAAACAAACCTAATGAGTCGTGTACTTATCTGCGATTCTCTATTGACACATAATGAAACCGAACTATTTTCACAAGAACGTGCGAAAGAGATCACGGTCAAAGGGTACTCAAGCTCCACAGTCTGTGGCGAAACCCGGATTAAAACGTAACAAGGGTATGCTGTGTGTATGGTGGGATTAGAAGGGCATCGTTTATTATGACCTTTTACCGCCGGGCAAAACGGATCGGATCTCTGCTGCCAACAACTAATGAGACTCAAACAAGAAATTAAGAAACATGGCCGGAATTGATCAACAGAAAAGGAGTGGTCTTTCTTCATAATCTTTGGCCACTCAGCAAAAATTAAAAGATCTTGGTTGGGAAGTGTTAATGCATCCAGACTTAAGGTCCCCTCAGATTTTTACCTGTTTCGGTTTCTTCAGAATTCTTTGGGTAGTGTTAGGTTAACATCAAGAGAGGATTGTCAAAACTACTTGTCGCATTTTTTCGATCAAAAATCCCAAGATTTCTACAGCAACGGGATTATGTCACTTCCTACAAGATGGCAACAAGTTATCGAACAAAATGGCACATATATATTATAATTAAATGTTATTAAACTATGAAATGAAAATGTCTTGAATTAGTATTTAAAATACGAAAAAACTTTTTTCCCCGATCTTAAATGCTGAATTATCAGGTGCTAGGCGGTGAAGAAAACATTGTGAAGAAACCTGGGAAATTAAAAACAATCGAAGACCAAACACATTTCCTTGCCCTAAAACCCTCTTATAAATGATGCCACTGTTCCCAGCCGTGAGAGGTACAAAGGCTATAACTTTAGTCTTTATTTTACATGTTTAATATAATAAACGTTTTCATTTTCAGATTGTCAAGTCATCGTATTCGGTGTTTTCAGTTTTTTATTAATTCAGCACCCAATTACATAGAAAGCAAAACTTTCCATAAATAGAGTAGTCTACTAGCAGCAGAATTCTTCTACACCTAGCATTACCAAAAATAAATAATAATGTGAAAGTGATGTTTTTTTTTATATTTTACGAACCTGGACACTAATTTATAATAATACTAAACGGTACCCGGCGCGTTGCTGCCACAGAAGATAGAATTTTAGAAATATCGTTTTAAATTTCGAAGAGTTATTTGTGAAATTAGGAATGTAAATACGTTCATTAAAGTAGAATTATACAACATGTAACAAAAACCCTGTGGTTCCCGTTAAGTACGTTATCAGGATCAATATTCAAACCTATATAAATAACTTTTTTTTAAAACTAGACCATGTTTCTTTTTTAATTTTATTAATTTTTTTTTAATTTTATATGGTTTTCTTACCTCTTACTGACACTAGCCGATGCTAAAGCTAAGTAAAGCGGGGTCTTTTAAAAATCCTCTTACTCCCCAGACAATGCAGAGGTAATAAAACCACATACAATTTGCATACAATTATTTTTTAAATAAAATAAAAAAAATTGTATGGTTCGAGTTTTTAAAAAAAAGTTATTTCTATACGTTTGAATAATGATCCTGATAAGCTACTTAACGGGAACCACAGGGTTTTTGTTACATATTGTATATAACATTCAAATAAATTTGTAGGTAAGATACGCGCGCCACCTGCTGAAGTTATTTGCACTCTCCATAACCTTCGCGCAAGTGCTTAAGTCAACAGTTTAAGCGCAATCTGATAAACGGTATGGCAGCGGATAAAATACGAACAAACAAATATTAATTTAGATTTAGAATTTATATATTAGAATTTTATTAATAATTTATTTTGTGATAGAGCGGACAGTTGGGGATAAAAATCATCGCTTTATGTAATAAATATATATATTTTTCCTCAATGACAACGTACCAAAGTCCACGGCTGAATATAGGGTAGGTTTTACACGTGTTAGAGCCATGCTGCAGCTATATAAGTAGTATAGTTGTAGCACGAATGGGTCTGCTCGACCGGGGAAGGACCACGCTCTCACAGAATACCAGCGTAAAATAACAGCTTAACACTGCTGTGTTTCGTATGGTGAATGTAGAGAACCGAAGACCCTTTCTACTGGTAAAGAGGCATTCCATCTTAGTCCTCACGGGTGACAACGCATCTCCATTTTGATTCGCAAACGAGGATAGATATAGATGTCTATGTGCCACAGCAATCACTTACCGTCAGGTGGACTGTGTGTTCGTTTTTCACCCTATCCTATAAAAAATAGGCCTAACCATAGGTTACCTAATAAGGGGGATATTTGCCATAGTTGCCAAGCTTGGCAATAGGTTTGCAACGGCAGTTTTTTTATTTTCTAGTTATTACAAATAAGACGCTGCTGACCTACCTTCTGGTTTGTTTCCCTTTTGTCGCCTTCTATCGAGTCTGGGCTGCTGGTGTACTGTATAATTACGGCGAGTGCTTAAGCTCCTGAGTTAACACGGCATGAAGAGCATTATATGCCATTCTAAATGATGACAAGCCTTTAGCGCAGGACAGGATTATAGTAGACAAGTGTGCAAGCACAGGTGCACTCTCTGTTCCTTCACTTTCATAGTCTGATGGGACGACAATCCGACACGACTGTAAAGAAATCAGGCGCAGGAACAACTGCTTAACGTGCTTTCCGAGGCACGGGGGTGAAGTACCGCCAACTTGACTCAATAAACGACTCTTTGGCTCAACCCGGGAGTTAAACCCCCACTATCCTATCACCATCACCCATCATCATCAGTTGCGTTTACGGCCACTAAACAAACAAGGCACTTGATGTAATATAAATTTTCTAACACGTTAAAATTATATCCAAGAAGGTTTTGAGCAATAACGTAAAAACATTGGAGTAACTTTATTATGAACTTATAATAATTCTTTTGTTATCCAACGTTATTAGTTTAATTCAGGAATGGCACGTTTTTGGGACTGTAAAAGTTTTAGAACTACAATAATTTAGGAATTGTTACCGTAAAAAGTTTAAATTTGTTTACCTCAGGTTTGTAATGAAAGTAAAATGCACCACAGGTTGGTTAGTAGCGGAACAGTTTTTTGTTTTTCATTTGTTTAAGCAAGCTAATCTCTGGAACTGCCAGTCCGATTTGCAAAATTATTTTTGTATATTATCGACAGATTCATAATAAATAGTATTAGGCTACCCCTCTGAGCTAGCCTTAAATATTGATTTTGTTAGGCAAGTCAGAAGAAAAAACGCTCCCGAAATTATTTATCCGCGTGCTCTGGCGTAATGGTTAGTGATAAGTAAATACAATGTGCTACAAAAATACAGATGTTTACTCCATCTAAAAAAAATTCGCGATACCATATGCCTATTTCTTATACATAAGCCAAATTCGGAAATTTGGTAATATTTTCGGAATTCAAATATGAACCGTATAATAAAGCTTCTGAATGCACTCAAGTTTATTAAGCAACTCCTCATTTAAATTGAGGTATCACGTGTCAGCATAAGCGAGAGATCTTTTATTTTTCTCTAACCTTACTGCGTACCAGACGTCTTGCACCTTGATTTGACATGGTGTCCCCACGCCTGGAGAGACCCATATCCCGCAGTGGACTTCTATAGACTGATGAAAAATATGAAGAACCATTAATACAATAGAATTAGAATACCTACAAATAACCAAATGAGTTGAATATTAAATATTATTCATTTGTTGAGTTGCTAAATATTAATTTTAAAGACCAGATTCAGCGATGTGTCATTCTCTGCAAACAATATGTATCCTACAGTGGACCTTTATAGACTGATGAAAAAGATGAAGAACCTTTAATACATTAGAATTGAACACCTACGAATAAATAAATGAGTTGAATATTAATTATTATGCATTTGTTAAGTTGCTAAATATTAATTTTAAAGACCAAATTCAGCGATGTGTGATACAATATGATATTAAAACTACGATTAGCAACCTGCCTGCCAAGCGTAGAAACTTAAGCAAATATTCCTTAAAAGGCAATCTGTGGGGAGTTCTTTGTTCAGTAATGAACTTGACTGTAGTGAATATGGTGTGTGTAGTGAATCATGTAATCAATATTTGATAAGAAACAACTTATTAATGTTTACCTACTAGGAAACAACATACTATATTTATACCTTACTAATTACATTAATTTTTCATAAGTTTTTCGAGACAAAAGTGAATAAGGCACATCTGTAATACAGTGGTCAAATTTTCGTAAGTATTTTTAAGTAATTTTATATAAAAAAATATGTTATTAAATTTTTCATTTCTGCGCAATATTTATAGGTAAGTGCTAAACTAATATAAAAATGCATTTGTATTAGACAGGTGACTTAGACCAGAGCATTCACTTATCAAAATTAGAATGACAAACACGCACATAGCACATAGTACACCTGAGTGTACTATGTGCTCGTTGGTCATCCTACTTTTTTTAAAGTAAAAAATCTTTCGAGCAGCATAGTTATATTTATTTATCCAGAGTATTTCATCATCATCATCCTCATTACAGCCTCTCAAAGACACATAAGGCCTCCTCAATAGATGGCCTTCTTGGTGTTTTATTATTTCCATTTGTTATTTGAAAGATGCTGCCGCCTATCTCCAATTTCAAACTTCCTCGGTCGTTTCTTACGACACCCACGGTATGATATTGGGTAGAGAATTCCCTTACGCCTACTACACGGTGAGAACTTGGCAGAGTAAAAAGATTCATATCCATTTTTTTAAACAAAAGTGTTACCACCATACTAGTATTTTTCCCCCTGTATTGTGGAGGTAATACATACATAAATTGCACAAGAACAAACATCCAGAGTCAGAGCAAATATTTATAGGCCATACAAATACTTGTTCCACTGCGCCACGGAGCCGTCAGTTGAAATTATAAGCATTAGTATATTATAGGCATTAATTTTTAATACAATATTACAGCGGTGCCTTAATAGCAATACTTTTCGTTCGAGTGACAATAAAATTACATTTACTACTCATATCGAACCTTAAAAAGATTTATTGTAAATAACGTTACCTATTTATGATTCAATTACTCTTAGATCTAGTGCAATATTTTTGTGAGCCTTCGAAAAAACTGCTATAAATAGGTTTTATTGTATGTGTAACCTATTATTTGTGTGAAACTAAAATATAGCCCTATATTTTTAGTATTTACATAGAACCAATAATAATATTTTTCAGTTTTGTATCATATAAATTGTAACCGTTATTCCTCTGTTTGCATCCGATACCGAGGTAAACTTGGCCTAGCTAACCGGTGTGTGCAGATGGTAAGTAGGTTTGTTGGTAGCAGTACGACTTGCCCGTGTACATCCCACATATCGCACACCCTACCGTTTGTGGGCGGCGTCTTAGCGCATAGCGTTATGATATTCAATTGGTACTGATGCCTTACACTTACATCACGTCTGCAGCAACGGCGGTCTGGCAGGGTGGCGCTCAAGGAGTGCTTTTTATGGCCAGTGTGCCTATTATTCGACGTGTGCGGTGTAACGTACATTCACTGTGGTAGGATTTGGTCCTATTCTTTATGGCGTTTACACGCATTGAAATGCACGACTTCGGTCGATATTTGTGCTTACGCACTACCAAGGGGCCAAGCTCTCTTTAACTGGTACACCAGGTATTTTGCTGTGGACTTCGGTCCAGTTCCCACCTTACCATCCCCTTCGGGCCGAGCGCGTTGGTTGGTTGGCGCTCACCGCACACGGCGTGTTTGGAGTCGTGTGTCTGCCCCACATTTTTTTTAAATGTGAATAGAATAGAATAATTTTTTTTCAATATAGATCACATGTGTAATTCTTATTGAAAGTCATTTTTTACTTTACCACTGGTTCGAGAAAAAACCTCTGTCCTGTGAAGAACCAGCAAGAAACCCAGCGGGACGTTTTTTTAAAGCAAATTTTGTGGGAGGGCGAAGCCCG